TCCTGGGCTGCCTTCCCTTCCCTTCCCTTCATGGCACTGAGAAGGAGCTCAGGACTCTACCTCCCTGGAGGCCCCTCCTCCTCCTCCTCCTCTTGGCCCTCCTCCAGGTTTTAAAAGAGAATCGTCCATGCGTATTTGCTTTTCACATTACAGTAAATGCGAAATTACTGTAATTTCGCAAATGCATTTCCTCTAAACTCCCGAAATTAAAAAGATCTCAGATAATACCAGTTTCTGTCCAGTTTCTGATCAGTTTCTGTGCGACGTCGTGTGAAATCGTGAGGCGCAAATTCAGTTTTTGTTTGGGATTTGTGTGGATTAACCAACAGATTTCCCCCGTGTGATAATGTCCTAAGACATCTAGCCTTCTCTGATTGAGAGCGCTGGTGCCCCATTGCTGGGCATGCTTCTCAAATGTGCAGATGACATCAAATTAGGAGGAATAGCTAATACCCCAGAAGACAGGATGAAAATTCAAAATGATCTTAATAGATTAGAAAGCTGGGCCAAAGCTAACAAAATGAATTTCAACATGGAGAAATGTAAGGTACTGCACATAGGGCAAAAAAATGAAATGCATAAATATAAGATGGGGGAAACCTGGGTTAATGAGACTACATGTGAAAGGGATCTAGGAGTCCTAGTAGACCACAAGGTGAACATGAGTCAACAGTGTGATGCAGCAGCTTAAAAAGTCAATGCGATTTTAGGTTGCATCAATGGAAGTATAGTATCTAGATCGGGGTAGGCAACCTAAGCCCTGGGGGCCGGATGCGGCCCCCCAAAGCCTTTGGACTGGCCCCAGGCCGGTCTTGCTGCCACTGCCACCGCCGCCGCTGCCCGCCATGATGATATTGATTATTGTTGTTATTACTTGTTCTTGGGGTCTTCTTGGCAAAATCTCCCATTGCTTTTCTGGGGCTGAGAGAGTGTGCATGCATATTTTTTAATATTTTAAATTTTACATTTTTAAAAAATTATTTATTTATGTATTTATTTATTTTTGGTGCTTCGGCCCCCCAATTGTCTGAGGGACAGCAACCCACCCCCCAGCTCAAAAAGGTTGCCTACTCATGATCTAGATCAAGAGAAGTAATAGTGCCATTGTATTCTGCTTTGATCAGGCCCCACCTGGAATACTGTGTCCAGTTCTGGGCACTACAATTCAAAAAGGATGTTGAAAAACTGGAGCGTGTCCAGAGGAGGTCAGCCAAAATGGTGAAGGGTCTGGAAACTAAGCCCTATGAGGAATGACTTATGGAACTGGGTATTTTTAGCCTGGAGAAGAGGGGGTATGATAGCCCTGTTTAAATATTTGAAGGGATGTCATATTGAGGAGGGAACTAGCTTGTTCTCTGCTGCTCCAGAGAATAGAACCCAGAACAACGGATGCAAACTACAGGAAAAGAGATTCCATCTCAACATTAGGAAGAACTTCCTGAGAGTGAGATCTGTTTGACAGTGGAACACACTCCCTCAGAGAGTAGTGGAGTCTCCTTCCTTGGAGGTCTTTAAGCAGAGGCTGGATGGCCATCTGTCAGGGATGCTTTGATTTTGAGTTCCTGCATGGCAGGGGGTTGGACTGGATGGCCCTTGGGGTCTCTTCCAACTCTATGATTCTATGATCTACATAAGGATATCATGCCCCCCACCCACTCAATGTAGTACAATGGGTGCTCGGAATCCACTGGGATTTGGTTCCAGTAGATGCCATGGATACCAACATCTGTGGATGCTCAAGTCCTATGAAATACAATGGGGTAGTTAAATGGTATCCCTTTTATAAAATGACAAAATCAAGGTTTGCTTTTTGGAATTTAAATATTTTTAAAATATTTTCAAGCCCTGGATGCTTGAATCCATGGATAAAAATCTGTGAGTATGGAGAGCTGACTGTATATGAATAAAAATGTTCTGTTTATTTAGTGTGCATATTCTCATTTGCATCCAAGACTCAGAACACCCTCTGTCTTATGAGTAGACTAGAAATAAGATGGCCATACCCACATCCCTCCCATTAATGGAGTTTTCCTCCTCTGCATCTGCTTCTAGAAAACCTCAAATTTTTTGCCCCCAGCGGTCCTGTGGGAGGCAGGGGCACATTTCTACCATGTTTTTTTGGAAGGAGGGGACTTCCTAGAGCATTTTAAGCCCAGGAGAGGCCAGTTTTGACAGCACTATGCTGCGTCGTGTGGTCAGGTTGTACACATTTGGGCCACCTTGGGAATGGCTGGTGCAGACAGTGAGGTTTCAATCCACTTCCATAAAATGCAGGTTCAAGATACTTGAACCGTCTGTTCCGGGCTATGGAAATTAAAGCCGTATCAAACTGCTTTATTTCTGCAGCAGTCTTGGTGGATGTATTTATTTGTTAGGCTGCTTCCATCAAAGCTGACCCCAAGCTTTTTATTCCACAAAGAATCCTCTTCCAGGTAGAAGTTAAAGTGGTGTCAAACTGCTTTATTTTTGCAGTGTAGATACACTGCTGGTGGCAGCACAAGAACTGCTAAGGAAGGGAGGAAAGGCACTGTTTCAAAGGACTGCATACCCTCTTATTGACCAATCTCACCTTCTTCATACAACAAGGTTAGACTGATTGGTGCCCTTGTCTTGTAGACCAACCAGGCACCAAGCAAAGTCCATCAGAGATGAGACAGTAAGAACTCCAGCTGTATACAGAAGCTTACCAGCCAGCTGCAGTTCTCAGAGATCAAGCAGTCCAAGTTAGTAGGGTACAGCAAGAATGCCAAGATGTCAGTCCAAGAGAGACTCTGGTAGTGTAGTTAATTTATGATGTAGGGTCCAAGATCTTTTGGAAACATGATCTAGGAATCAAGAGACATGAATGTTGCTTCCCCACCCCCCAATGGTCAGTTGTCAGCAACAACCTCCCGAGGGACTTGCTAGATTATTTATGGACCAGCAACCTCTCAGCTGTTGCCTGATTCCTATATAATTGCTCAGAGCATCTCAAACCCTCCCTCTCTCATCTATGTTCCATTATGGTAGGTATTATCAAGTCCATGCCCATATGTTGTGGCTGCTGGGGAGTGTCACTGTTTGTCTTGAACACTGGCATGTCCCTCTGTTTGCCTTTCTGTATCATAGTCTGAACCAGGCACATCCCCCTGCTCTTCTGCTTCACTCTCTGTATCAGAGTCTGAACTTGGGAACAAGGCATGACAATCCATGACAAGATGGTGGTACATGGACTATAGTGGATCATCTGTGAGCCATCAGCTGCCAATCTCACAAGTTTCCAGGAAAGAAAGAAACAGTTGTAACTAAGGGCACAACTAGGGAACTGGGGTACACTGGGCAGAGGGATATTGCTGATCCCCCACATTGGATAGCCTGAGAAGCACCATTGTAGAGATCAAAGCCAGTTTGGCAAGACACAAAAAGATGGTCAGAAAGAACTGTCCTGAAAAACCATATTATGTCTTCAAAACACCAGCATTAAGTCAGCAGTCTGGCAACTTCAGAGGTGTGACAGAGCCTAGGACCTGCACTCATGACCTAGAATTGTAATTTGAAAGAAACCTGAGAGATCTGGAATGCTCACCTTTGTCTAACTCCATTGTTCCTCTCTATCCACTCTTATTTTGTTGCTTAGAGACTCAACTTTAAATTGCATTTTGCTTTCTTCACTCTTTTCACTTCCGTGTTAACTTAAACCGTAGCTCATCTGTTTCTTCCCTTTTGTATTCTGGTAAGTTCCTCATTAGTTGTTTCCCCAACTTTCTTTTGGGAAGAGATGGAACTGGTGTGGGAAAGTCCCACACGTTATTTTGGGTCTCTGGCATTCTTCCGCCTCATCTCACTGCTGGTTGAATGCATGTTCTCTCACAATTTACAGTCAGATCTCCATATCCGCAGGGGATCTGTTCCATGGCGCCCTGCCCCTCGTGGATACAAAAAACTGTGGGATCACAAGTCCCATTGTCCCTAATGGCGGTGCAACGTGTATGCGCCCACTAGCATGGCCGTGGCCACTCACGGCCACTGGGGACAATGGGGCTTGCCATCATTGAATGTTCAGATTCGTGGATGGCAAGCCCGCGGATACGGAGGTCCAACTGTATTTATTATTTATTTATTTATTTATTTCAATTGCATGTCACTTTTCTTCCAGAAAGGGACCCAAGGCTGCTCACAAATAAAAAGACTTTAAAAGACTTTAAAATAAAAGTTTTAAAAACAATTTAAAATATCAAATAAAAACAGTGTAAAATACATACATTAAAAGCTACAACACCCCCCCCCCATATAACAAACACCTCATGTAAAAGCCATCCCGTGTTTATATATTCAAAGTCTGCCTGAATATGGAGTTGTGCAACCACAAAGAGTCATTGCTAGGGAAAGTGAAGTGACATTTTGAAGCTTGGTCAGTATCCAAATGTAATTTAACTTCGCTCTTCCCAGTACACATATTATATTAGCACCCCAGCTCTCTTGCCCATTTTATCAGATCCCCTTTCTGCTTCCCAGGCAGTGTCATATTATATTCCATTAACTCCTTCCACCATTCATATGACTATCTACCTATCTTGGTTTTAGGCAATATCCTTCTCCCACCTTTGTCCCCTAGCTTGTTCAATACTGTCTGTCTTTACAAAATATTGTTGCAGTGCCCCATTTGTATTACACTCACTAATATTATCCACCTGGTAATGGCCATTGGAGGAGCCAGTGTGGCACAGTGGTGTGAGCTTTACACCACGACTCTGGAGACCAGGGTTTGATTCCCAGCTCGGCAATGAAACCCACTGGGTGACCTTGAGCAAGTCACATGCTCTCAACTTCAGAGGAAGACAATGGCGCACCTCCTCTGTACAAATCTATTATTGGCGGTTCCACCAACACGTACAGCTCTGTCAAGGTTGCAAGCCTTTCAGGATCTGGCCCCACATTTGTGGAACAGTTTTTCTTTGCACCTCTGTCTGGAGGAGGATCTTACCTGCTTTCGTAAAGGGTTGAAGACTCCCTCTTCGATTTGCCTTATTAAGTTGCTGAGTGTGCCTAAGAAGGCCGAGATGGGTAGCGACTAATGAGGATTTTGTTTTTTGCATATCAGTATATTATTTGAGTATTTTAGTATTTTAGCATCTAATAGTGCTGTGTTTTATCATTCGTTTTTGATTGTATGTGTTCTGATGTACTGCCCTTTGGTGAAAGGGGTGTTATAAATAAATGTCATTATTATTATTATTATTATTATTATTATTATTATTATTATTATTACCTGGCTAACTTTTTAAATAATATTTTCTCACCTACTCACTAATTCCTCCATGCAGTCTTTAGGTTGTGTGATAATTTCATGATTAGTCTGAGATTTCAAAAGAATTTGAGAAACAGCCCTTTACCAGTTGTGATATCAACCTGTTCCAGAGAAACTCTTCACATATAAAGGAAATGTTTTATTCAGCTCTAAGTCATTAACCATCATTGACATTTTGACACAGGGGTAGGCGACCTTTGCCCTTTAAGGGCCAAGGGACTTCAGCTCCCAGAATCCCAGGAGCTATTGGCCAACATGGCTGAGGCTTCTGGGAGCTGAAGTCCCTCAGCCCTTAAAGGGGAAAGGTTGCCTACCCCTGTTTTGACCGATGGGTTTACTACAAGGTATCTGGGAATTATTCGGGATGTCCATTACAATTAATTTGCAAGTTTCTTTTTACTGTGTTTAATTTAATTGTGTTTTCCTGTATAAATCTGAATTTTGCTTACCTACTTTTCATTTTTCCCTGAGTAGTTCAAAAGTGCTGGGTATTGCCCATATACCTAATAATAATAATAATAATAAAATTTATTTGTATCCCGCCCATTGGTAATCCAATCTGGGCGGCGTACAGTTAAAACATCAAATACATAGTTAATATACAATATAAACACCCCCCCATAAAACAGGATTAAATTTAAACGATTTAAAACAATATTCAAATTAAAATATAATTAAAATATTAAAAATGTGTATAGCCATCCTGCCCTAGTGGCTCCCGAAGCCTGGTTTGGCGATCCTCCCATCACATGATGGGGCCACGTGAGGATCGTCTCATGGAGGGTTGTTGATCTAAGGCTGGGAGGAGCTATCTAATATAATTAGTCTGGAAAGGCCTGCTGGAAGAGATCCGTCTTGAGAGCCTTTTTGAAGCTATCTAAAGATGTTAACAGACAGATCTCGTCCGGCAGGTCATTCCAGAGCTTAGGTGCAATGACAGAGAACGCCCCC